GAAAACAGCTTTGGGTCAGCCATCAGCTTGCATTTTGTTTAGTTTATATCCGCTCATAAATGTATAAGTGCATGGGTGAAGTTGTTTAGCGATGTAAGTTTATTATCAGTAGTACCAGGTTCTGTCCTTTACTCATGTATTGAAAGTCTTCATTGTGTGATGGAAATAGCACTGGAAGGAATAATTAATTGGACTAATATTGTCCAAAAGTTGAGATTGTTGAAGGATTTGGACCTTCGTATATAAGGAATATGAGAATTTTGATTAAATGTGGCCATTACGTTTGAGAATAACGTGAGCAAGAAATTAAGTAAAGTAAAAAGTTTACCCAACTAAGGTAGGTAGAAAATTTAAGTTACGTGTTTGTTGAGCTTGACACGAAGAGGTCACGCAGTCAAAGAGCATTGACGACACGTAGAAATCACGTCGTCAGCGAGCATTGACGACACGTAGAAATCACGTCGTCAGCGAGCATTGACGACACGTAGAGATCACGTCGTCAACGAGCATTGACGACACGTTGAAATCACGTTGTCAAAGAGCATTGACGACACGTCGATATCACGTCGACAACGAGCATTGACGTCACGTTGACATCACGAAGTCAACGAGCATTGACGACACGTAGAAACCACGTCGTCAGCGAGCATTGACGACACGTAGCAATCACGTCGACAACGAGCATTGACGACACGTAGCAGTCACGTTGTCAGCGCACATAACTCGTTGACCGACAACGAGCACTGACGCACGTCGAAATCATTTTGCCAACGAGCATTGACGACACGTTGAAGTCTGTTATAGTTTAAGGGCATTGATACTCGTAGATCACGAAGTCAACGATCATTGACGACTCGTAGTTTTGTAGTCAACGAGCATTGAAGAAATGGAGGGTCTTGACGACCTAAGAAAAGAAAAGGAGAAAGGTGCCAATATTGGCATCGGGGGTTCTGCAGTTGTCGAGCATTATCAGAAGCCACGTAGTTGAGTAACTGAGTCGGTCGCAAAGGGGCGGTTACTACGTCAGCGTGTGTTGTCGATACACGATGGACCGTCTAGTCAGAATGCACAATTGGCATATGTGGAGTGGTCACGCGAAGATACTGTCAACTAAGAGAGCAGAGTTAACACCAAAACCGGCGACATGGTTAGTCGCACAGCCATAAATTAGGTAAAAGTTAAAAATTATGAATAAGATAATGTAGTAATAAATAACAAGCCTAAAGAAATGTATGTCGCATTTACATACCGTAAAGGCGACATCACCATCCTGGATGAATCAATTCTAGTAATTCCAATCCTCCGGATCCCATGACGGTTGGTCGTTCATCATATCATAAGGCCATACGTGATTTGTATTTTAAGATAGACATATATTTTAACACCGTCGACGTCACAGCATCTCCGAGTTCGTGAAGATTACCCTGATAAATTTATACATACCACACAAATAAATAGCAGAGCGGCGTGACCGCAAAATAACATCAATCAATTGCAACGATTTTGTCCGATTTCAAAATCTTTCAGTAGGTAGATAAATTCATGGTCCCTCAAGAGAAAGTTATAGTAATGGTGTTGGATATCCTTTAATTTTGAGATAGGTTGCCAAGCAGTCACGGTGTACAGAATCAATTTTACCATAGAATTGTAATGAATAGTCCTTTTTGTAGATGTTTTCATTTCCTTATTATGTACTAAAAATTAACGCTGCAATGCTTTTCGTTTAAATAAGATCATAATTAAAATATTCTTGAATATTTAGCGGTTGTTCTCAGATTCACAGAGCCCATCTGGTAGAAGGTCATATTATGAATTTCATCCTGAAGTATAGTTAGACGGAAAATCACTGTGTGCCTCTTACTGATTGTCACGGTGACAGTGGTAATTGTTGTATTTTGGTACTCGCCGTATTATACTTAATATATTCTTATTTTCGTAATTATAAATATTGGGCCAATGTTTGAATCTGCAATATGTCCAAGAATCCTGCTGCTAAACAGACAAGACACAGAGGGGCGATTATATAGTTCAAAACTGCACGGCAGTCTTGAAAAGATTAATGTGTAAAACAATGTGAGGAAGCTATTTAAAAACAATTGAAATAAGGTTAATTACATTGATTTTTCTCAACAGTAGTATGCATGAGACAAGCAGAAAAATCTAAGATACACAAAAAGTTAATCAATAAATAGTATAATTAGATATTGATAATTCGTACCGTTAGCAGACGCGATTAGCTTCTGAAGGTCGTTTTTAATCTGACCTTGCTTTTTCCTCCTATGGTCCACCCATATCGTCAACTCTGACTGTGGTTTTGAGTCGCAAACAAAAAAAATCGTGGAAAGTGAATTTGATCTGTCTCTTGGATTGCAAATAATTCATTAGCTGGATAAACATTCTAATTTCAAAAATGGGAACTGCCATCCACTTATGGAGATTATGTGAAGTAACTGCACTTCTATATAAATTTTATTATTTGTTTTGTGGTTTACATAACTTTTATACTTTTCCAAGAGATCATATATTCAAACAGTTCATTTTAGGATGTCCTTTATGGATTTAGTCGCAATGTTTAACCTTTTTTAATTGACTACCTTAAAATAATAAATTTTCTAGTTTTTGCGGACAAGAGACCTGTTAATCAAAATAGAAAAACTTTGTATCGTACATTCATACAGTATCATAATATATAGATTCGTAGTAGAATATCTACATACCTCATGGAACTTTAAGTTGATTGCTTACAAAACATACCTTCAATTTTATTCAAGACTGATATAATCAATGAGATCATAATATGATTTCTAATTTCTTATGTGTAAGTATTTGTTAAGTACGTCAAAATACTAATATGCAAGTAGCAATTGTAGTAGCATTTGTGATCCTCAAATGTAATGTAGCATTTGTGATCCTCAAATGTAATGTTTATTTGGTGTCGCGATTAATCAGTTGATGGATAATTATATATTTTAGCATATTTCTATGAAATAAAATCTGAAATAAAAAGAAGTTCGTTATACCCTACCAGCTGCTAAATTCGTAACAAAAAATTATGGTAACTGCTTATTTCGGTATTTTTATAAATTATATCTTGTGACGACCAGTCAATTATAGAAAACAAAAAACTAAGAAATGTAAACGGTATTTAAAAAGACTTACCTATTACATACTATTGATTTCGTAGGACTTGTATCCTATTATATTAGATAACCTTTCCCTATGTAATTTTATTTTTGTAGAATATTATGGTCATGTAATACTTTTCGATACATTATGTTAGGTACTTAAGTGAGTACGGCCGATGAGACTTATCTGTGAATGGGGTGTGACGTTCCACTCGCTAATATCAACTGGAGCCGGGTTAGCCTTCTTCACTAGGAAGGACCACCTTGCTTTTCAAACGTTTGTGATAGGATTGCGTGATACTCGCTCACGTCAGCCCCAGTCCAGTCGTTAGCTGTGAAGTTTGCAAATAATCAATAAATATATATTTGTATATACAATCTACTTTTCGCTTTATGCACAGAACTAAATCTTGAAACATTTCATTATTATAGATCAGAGGTCAGTTTTAGTGTTGACCACTCACCGTAAAATCTATCCCTTCATGTTTTCGGCCTCAGTTTCATTACTCAGCTATTTATAGAATTCAGTCAGGTTTCGTTTAGAGTCTGTATTGTCCCGGTTTAGTCATCAGCCCACGCTTTCCTTCTTGATTTGTGTAGTATAGATAGGTACCATTTTATACAAATGAAGTTTCATATTTATTATAATACGTAACCTATGTTTGGCTTCTTATTCGAGTAAATGCCGATGAATGTTTAGTTTTCTCAAGTTTCGTTTAGATTTCTTTCCTAAATAATGATACAAGACAGCATGCCAATTGATTCGTAAAAAAATAAGAACCAGTCATTACCTAAAAGTGAAAGTTGCCCCAAAACGCCGCCGGGCCGACACCGACGGCAGCAGAAGCAGGGGCTTGACAAGGCCACAATGCTATGTGCCTTGTTGGACATTACTCAGGTACACAGTCGACCTCTTCTAAACCTTAACACTCCTCCGTTGTTGTTTACATTCCTTCTTCAAGGATATAGGTATTCCATTGTGGTGCATTCACTCCTGTTTACTAGATCATTATGGCACAAATATCCTAACTAATGTTATTGTTAAATCTTCTAAGTTTGAATCGTGACTCTCATGATTTAATATAGGTAGGTACACAATGTCCACTATGTTTTGAAAACAAGCGACTCACCAACTTTTCTAGAAAACATAATCCCAAGCAGAATTTCCGTGGCGATGTTCAAGACCACGGTAGAGGTTAAGGTCTGAAGCCTTGCCTCGTCGTTTGTGGCAGCTGCTGACCACGGTTGGCAGGGCTCTGAGAGACTAAACATAATGTTACACCAACAGTGGCCCGAGTATGGGCCACACAATAGCACTATCTAAATGGAAAGGAACCTTCACGCCAACAACCTAACGGTTACCTAGTGGGCTGACAACCGGGACGTATTCGTGCGAGCACGTCGTATAGCAGACAGGTAGCACCCCAGTGCGTACGGTACGCAGACTGCAGCCAAGCCAGCGGCTCCGCAGACAGCTGACTCATATACTCGTTCACAGTGACCCGAACACGCCATCGCACGCAACTCTGCGCCATGTTCTCCACGTAGACGATGATGACTCATGGAATAATAATTGTTTGTGTGGTGAATTTGTAAGAAAAGCTAAATAAAAACAAGTGATACGACCTTTTTTTTTAAAAGTTATTTATTTCCATACTTAAACATATGTACAATAAATATTATTCAATATGAATAAAAATCAAAATTCCAATTTAATCGTTAGGCGAGAGAATAAATTGAAACACTTAAAAATTAACAAATAAATGCATGATACCGTTACAAACCCATTTTGTAGTTATCTGCGACCGCGCCCCAGCGGCAACCAAGATGGCGGCCGACGGATGCAGGCCCACGCGAAACGCAATGGGACTGTAATTTAGAAAAACATCCTACATAATATCACAGTTACAAAAAACTTTACTTTACCTAAAACAGTCTATTTTGGAGCTGGCTTGACATTATCTAATTCTCTAAAAAAACTATCTAAGCCGCTGAGATCATTCTTCCAGAAATTATCAATTTTTTCTTGTTGTTGCTTGGCGACTTCTTCTTCTTTGTTGCGCAATCCAAGATCAGCTTGCATTTGAGCCCACCTCCTGGCGCGCTCTCGTTGTTTGGAAATGAGCTCACTCTCGGCACGTGATAGAGAGTTGCTCAAAATGGCGATTATTCTTAAATCACGGTTTCTTCTTGTCTTGGCGTCTAGGGATTTGGATTTAACTTGGCGAACCCAGTTGGATAGGGATTCGGTTTTACTTTCACAAAAGTCAACGATAGATTTTTCATTTGACTTGTAACCCATTTTTAAAGGATGGGCTAGAAAGTACCGTTTGTTGAGACAATACTACACACCTGTATCCGACCAGGCACAAATATCACTTCTTGGAATCTTCAGCACTACACACAGCGGAGCCACACAACTGCACTTCACCCGAGACGATTTTAGAATGTGGGCGCTTGACGTCATGGCCGCCTTTTATACTCGACCTGAGGCGGGGGGCCGCACTGCGCAGTTGGCCACAAAATGGCGTCATTCCAACGGCAAAACAATGGCCGAACATTACCGATGATAACCGAAAACTTACGACCGTTTTGTGTTTATTCGAAAATGTTGTAGTATGTGAAGACACGAGGGTTCCGTCGTATTAATATTATATTTTAATACCCACGTGAATATTAAGTAAGTAAGTAGGTCATTTTGATTACAGATTCTCAAACAATTTACTGTAGTAGGTATGTTGAACATTGTATCTACTATTTTAGCAAAGGTCGAATGTAGGTACTTCAATAAGTATCTATGAATGTTACGTATATACACATAAGAAAATAAATCATATTCTATGTATGTAACATACGATTCTCTATTCATTAACGAAAAATACATATTGACTATACACTTTTGAAAATATTAACAGTGTGTTGTATTGTGTATTATACCACATAATAAGTATCTATCTATATCATCTATTTTTAGGGTTAGGTAGAAAAATCTACTGGTCTACTAGAACTATCAACAATATTTTGGAACGAAATTATACATGCATAAATGTGGGAAAGAGAGATCACGATGCGGTATGCGCAATAGAGGATATTGATCGAACAAGAGGCTCCGTTTGGGAGGTCGAAGTAGATGTGAGAGGGGTCAATGAGGGGAGTCGGGGAGTTTATTAAAGTCGTCTGTCCTCGTTGCACAGGCGGGGGCCGGGGGCAGAGCCAAGCTCCCCTGCAGGCTCCAGATATTTCGATGACGTATAAAATTGTCTATAGTCAGAATTTTAATTAGATTCCAGATTTGACAATAGCTACTGTCATTTTGTGAAATAATGATACCACATATAATAGTATAGTGATGAACACAAAAATCGATAAACAATCAGTGTGTGTGTTTTATAATAAATGTTACAGAAAGTGACAGGATAGCGATAGCGATGACGGCGACAATTTATAAAATAACTTATTACCATAATACATTTATCTATTTTATTTGTCATGTTCCTTCATGATTACATTTTTTTAGTTATTTCACACACAATTATAAAAGAAAAGTCTCAGATCGTTAAGTAATCGTCAAAACTAAATTATCGGTCAGAAAGATTTAATTTTCTGATATCCTTAGTTTACGAGAGTAAAATTATAAACGAGACGAATCGATCCAGAAATATTGCATTTCCATATCGAATAATTTCGCAACGTCACTATTTAGTACTTGTCATAACGTTGCAACACTGAAATTGTCAAATCTGGAATCGAATTAAAATTCCGAGTATAGGTACACATACTTGCATACACATGGATATTGTATCTAATTATAAATCAAAACCCTAAACCATAAAATACGTCGTGGAGAACCTAACGGGTAACCGGGGCTCCGGCTCGACGTGCAGGAGAAGGAACGAGGTGGTTTTTAGTCAGTAAGAGTCTGTCTGACACTTCCTCCCGCCTCACCCAGGCGGGAGCAGTCATTCGATGATTTTCCCCCCTTAAAAAAACCATAAAATACATCCTAGATAGGTAGGTATCTACGTCAGAAACGAAAAAGACACGTGTGATTTTAAACAAGTTGTTTTGAGACCGAATATCATCAATAACACAAAAATAAGGACAGTGTCAGTGAACTATAATGATGTACTGAAATAGATGTCGGTACTTTAGCTTAGGTATTCTGCCAAAAGTAGAATAATTATATTACGGATTTTTGAGACGGTTTTTAAACAATTTGGAAAATTGATAACCCAATCAAAGAAATATAAACGAGTAAAACACTTTAAACGAATGTCATCGACATGTTTTGAAAGTGACCTCTACAAGAAACATCAATTTTTATATTATGTACCTAATTAATCTGTAAGCTCAATATAAGTAAAGGAATAGGTATTCTATTATTTATCACGACATGAGGGTTCTAATTATGCCCTCAGCCCTACATACTGAACACTCAAGTACCTAATACCATTAACAATACGTTCCTATGTTAATGCAAAATACTGAAGTACTATTTATAGGAATTAAGTAGGTAGAAAGATTTTGTAAAAACACCACGTTGGTCGCATATCCCTGAACAAAACTAAATATGGATGTACAAAGAATAATATTATGGGGGATACATGTATTGTTTATTGAATTAGACATGCCTATAAATAAGCAAAGGAACGTGCTATGGCTTCTTCTAACAATACAAGTGCATATTAACAAACATTGGGTAGGAATGTAAAAATATTGCGTGTTATTTTAAAATGAACTGCTGGTAGATGTTACGGGTTAATACAATAGCTTTTGTTTCAATAACAAATCTTTGTTCGGCTTCGGCACTAGCGTTATCTCATTTCGCAGTTATAGGTAGATTAGGTAAGTAGGTAGGTACCTACACTAGTATTTAGTATGCTAAGTAGGTACATTATATACTTGTCTAGGGTGGAGCAAAATGGAATTAAAATAAATGCCTTTTCAGATCAATTAATATTTCACACCCATCTTTAAAATAGTTTGCTTTCTGAAACTCAGAAACTCCAGTCGCACACAGTAGAGTAGTGAATCATAATATTTTTCAATGATTTGACTTGATTTGAGCCATTACTTATTCTGAGTCATTAAATACCACAAGCGACCGCGTTATCATCTATGCATTAAATGTTCAACCTTTTGACTATAACACTTAGGTTGGTTTTGCCTAGTGTAGTTATTCAATAGATTGGAAAGAAACAGGTTGCTTGGAACTTGGCCATTTTCTGACGTCACCCCAACGGTCTCACGCTCAGTCCACGGTCGAAGGGTAGGGGAGCTGGCAGCTGTATGCAACGAACTTTATTAACCAATCTAGTTTTGTAAGAATTATTATTAAAGGAAGTTACATTCATAGTTTCCTTTGTATTTCAACGGACAAAGAAGCCACCCCATGAACTTTGAAAAGGTATTTTTGCGAGGTGAATTCTTAATTTGGGAACTACGATGACGATCCATATCATGATTGTCATTGGTCGACAGAATAAATGTACTAAAATATAGCATTAAAAAGGAGAAAGCAACGAAATCATACGAATTCTTGTAGAATCGACACACGGCGTGGTACCTACCTATTTAAAATTCATTGCCCTTTTAGCCAAAAAGGTTTCACAAAACTGCTGACCCTGTTCTAATCGGATTCAGATCACTGACGCAGGTAGACATGTACGCCTTTGTTTCGACATTTTGAGGCGTAAAATACCATTTTCTAAGGAATGTAATGGCTAGACTACACAGTACGAGAACTAAAAAGATAAGTCTTAAACAAAAAATCGTTTTGGTAATACAAAATGTGTTGCAAAATTGTAATAGTAGGTACTAGTAGCAGTTGTAATGACAATAGAATTTTAAATATTTTTTATTTCCCACGTGGGAAGTACAAGTAGGGTTGCCACCTTTTATTTTGGTATTTAAAGTACATTGACTGATTATAGGTAAGAAAAAAAAGTACGCAGTACAAAAATAAAGTACAATTTATTGCTTTTTGCAGTTTGTATTAAATTAGTATCTTTACTAAACAATTGCATCCATACTAGAAATTGTCTAAGTGGCGCTGGTGAGTGGCGAAATCGATTCAACATAAGTCGATAAATTTCGATATCAAATTTTGCAAAAATAAAGTATTTTCGTGTACTTTATTATTCTTATAAAGTATAGAGTACAATTACCTTAAATAACGTACAATACTTTATTGTAAAGTACGGGTGGCAACCCTAGGTACAAGGTAAAACGAAGGGGGTCATTTCTGTTTCCAAGTGGCAAAAGATGGAACTGATTTTAATTACCCACGTATACATTATACAGTACCAATAATATAAGGAGAAACAGATAGGTACCTAGTATAGATAATTCTAAGTACTTACCTATTTTCACAAATGACGAAAATTCCAGTAAGTACTTAGGTACTTTGTTACGCAAAACAGGAAATTGTGGCGTCGTAATTTCTGTGTAGGCTATCGTTATCAAATGCTTATCAGTATTAATAATGTTGTCGGTCAAAGTGGAGAAGTATGCGAAACGTAAAAGGATATCTTGCGCGTTATATTTACGCGCACACGAAATTACAGACATTTTTTTATTATTTCGATTTTGTAGGTAACTTATCCACCGTTAATGAGGATCGAAATAATGGTTCTGATAGATACTTAAATACTATTCACATAATGAATGCATTAAATATACATAGGTATATTTTTTTCAATTTGCTAAATAGGTAAAAGAAACGACAGGTAAATAAAACACGTGTATAAAAATCAACATAAATATATTAAACTAAATAATAATACAACAAATAATTCCAATGCCTTCGCCTTTGCTTATGACCTTTCCCTATAACACATTGAACCTTGAAGCAATCTTCATTACGCCGTGTGACTCAAACTCGAATAGCTATGAGGCTGCATGAGACATTATCATTTTCTGTAACAAAGGAAATTATACTTAACTAGCTGTTGCCCGCGACTTCGTCCGCGTAGATTAATGACTTCTGACAGAATTCATCAGAATCAATTCAGTGCCCAATAAAGATTTACCTATTGTGAAATGATTTATCGTAAATTAAAAATCCCGCAGGGTTCTTACCAGTCCCGGCCCGATCACGTAAGTTTTGAGTAATAAAAACTTCGACTATTGTTGTACAGAATCTCTATGAAATAAGTTCAGTGGTTAAGAGATAAGAAAGAGAGTCCTGGAGCATTGACGCATAGTTCCCGTTCCCGAGGGACTTCTGTGATAAAAACTATCATACGTTACTCAGGTCCCAAATCATCGTTTTACCGAATGTAATTTAAAAAGATTCAATGATTCTAGATTCAATTTTCATTCCCAATTTCACACCAACTATCATT